ATAGACATTATAGAATTTGAAGGCATGGAAGACAACAAAATTGAGATTATAAAAACAGGAATACAAAAGGCAAATCAAGAAAAGGATCTGGACATGGAGCAGCTGTGACAAGAAATTTTGGACAATGCCTCTTTATGGGATTTACAAAGTAGGCTGGTGAAAGCTTTGATGACTCCTTTTCAATGCCAAAGATTGATTAAAGATCAAATCCTGCAATGCCACTGGAATGATTTAAAGGTCAAGATTGTGAAGAACAAAAAGGAGGAATATAAAGTTGGACTATTTGATCAGTTAAATTATTTGTTTGATATTTCTGGTAATTCCTAATGGACTTTTTGCTGAACCAGGACTGAAAAGATGACGATTTGTGGATTACGCATAAATAAAAGTTAGGCTATGGGAATAAGAGTTTTTTTTATTTGTAAATTTAAAAGAGGGTGAAAAGTTAGTATATTAGCTTATTCTTGGTGTGGTGAAGGTTGAAAGCCATTTCTTTATTATTGTCTTTCTTTTTTTTTCTTTACTCTTTTACTTTTTTTCTTTTCCCTGCACCTTCTGAACTTTTCTTTTTATTTTCCCTTCTAGTATACTTTGTATTAGTTTTGACTATATTTACTAAAAACTTCAATAAAATTATTTTAAAAAATAAAATCATTTCCCAAACTGTGATTTTCCCAGGAGTTGACTTTCCATCAGCAGTTAGGGAAGCATCCTTGCTGGAGTGAATACAAGTTTCTGGAATGACACTGGTTAGGATGATAGCACACAAGAAAAGTACTCTGCTTCCCATGCAACAAACAACCTTAATCCTCTTTACATCCTCCCCTCATATGCAAATACACAGTGACCGTTTAATTTTTTAAAAGTTAATCAATTGCTCAATAGAATTAATAGATCCCAATTAGCAGAAATTGCTCACTCTTACACTGTATACGTAAAAATCCCTGATTACAGTAACTCAGAGAGCTGGTCATCAGAATTGCAGCTTCCATTACTAAACACGCACACACAGACACACACACAAACAAAGGACACCTTGTTAGCCTAACGTCACTTATTACTTTTTTTTCCAAACTCAATATCACTATTTAATGAAGTGATTGATTTGTTCAAGGTCCATATGAGAGTGTGAAGTTTTGCCAACAATGAAGATTTTCTTGTTAAAAGACAGTACTTTAGAGCCCATATCTCAAATGTTGAGGCAGTTAGAATATCTGTACTGGATATCTGCTTCCATGAGGTAATGTTCCTGCTCCTAGCTTGCTCATGGAAAGCAAGCACACAGACTAGTCTGTGCCTCCTTTGTCTTGACCAGTTTAGAAAATGGAAAAGTTTACAGTCTTATAACAACACTTGCATGTGTCTAGACAATTTCTATTACATGGGGCAAAAGAAATTTAGATTTTGAACATATTTCTAAATTCCTCCCCCACCCCCTCTCCCAGCGTGGCTTAGTTCTAATTTCCTGATCTTTATTTTATTTCTTACACCAACCTTCTCTAAATTTAATTATTTTAACTGTTTGGGTTTTTTTGCTGATCATGCTTCAGTTATGATACTTAGTCACATTACACTTAGTTATTTAACTAAGCAATCTTTTATCTTTCCAAGCTGGCCTAAAGAGATATAGACGTTACTACTCTTAATAACTCCTTAACATAAGGGTTGTCAAATTCTGGTAGTCATGACCCCTGAAAACAATAAATAAATTTGTGTGACCCACTGTTCCATGAATAATAATGATGACAATGATAACATAGCAAGAGCAGGGGACTAAACTAAACTATTCCAGGACTAAAAAGGATTAACTCCCAGTTTATGTGTAATCATAAGCGGGGAGGAAAAAGGAGGGTTAGTTTGCAGCTATTCTCAGAAAAACATTGCTGTTCCAACATGGTGGGAGCATCCCACACTGCTGCCACAATCGCTCTCTATAATCCAGCTCCATCAGGGGCATACACTGAAATGATCTCCCTCTATTCAACTTATTCAATGATGCTAAATCAGATAAAAATATTTTCCTTGTAGATATGAATCACCTCTGAATGCAGCTATATCTCCCTGATAAGCACTCAGTACTAGACAAAGAAATTCTGTAAATTCTAACAAATAGAACAATAATAATTGCTAACTGGATAATAATAAATACTAACTCAAATTATATGAAATAAATACATTTTTTTTAAAAAAAATCTAAACTACATGGCAGAAAAATTGTTAAAGCAATCAACATGAGCCGGCCCTGTAATTAGATATACTGCAGGGATAACTGACCAGACCCAAGACAAACTGGATAATCTTGATAGAAAAAACAGGGAAACTAATTACCACATGTCATGCACTTCACCCAATCAGTGACATTCATAGATTATACATATTCAGAAATAAAGGTGGTAAAGTACTATTGAAAACAAAACAAACTGTGGAACAAGAAAAACATAGTCTAAATTATTTCATCAGGAAAAGTAAAGAGGCTCTACTTAATGGAAATTTAAAAGGAAAGGCTCCTGAAGACAGCAAAAACTAAATCGTAATACAAGAAGGAAGTAATTTAAAGTTGGATTAACACCTGGAAAAGCAAACTACAGGTATTCCTTGCTTAACAAGCTTAATTGGGACTGACAACTCCGCTGCTAAGCGAAGTGGTCGCTAAGTGGGAAATCACGTGACTGTGACTGCTTTCGGGCTGATAAGAGATAAGACTACTCAGTTTCAAACCTTTGGCTTTTGTTTGCCTCCTAACCATTCCCCCATCCTTTGGAATGCTTGAGGGTCTGCTTATTGTCTTGTACACATCGCAAGCAATGATTAGACCCATGCCCCTCCTGGCTTGTGAAACCAGCCCAGGGGGTGTTGTGTGAGTGGGTCCTAGTGGTAGATAATTCTTCTTTGAGTGAGGGGGTTGTTCCTTTACCTCTTAAGGACACCTTGCTTCGCCCCCTCCTCAAGAAGGCATTGCTCGACCAATTTTTGTCCAGTATCCAACTTCCCCTTTTTGGGGAAGGTGATTGAGGTGGTTGCACAACAGCTTCAGAGGACCTTGAATGAAGCAGATTATCTGGATCCTTTTCAATCAGGATTCAGACCAGGGTATGGGATGAAAACGGCATAGGTTGTGCTTTTGGATGATCTCTGGCACAGGCAGGATGAAGGTTGTGCATCCATTCTTGTCTTACATGATCTCTCGGCGGCTTTCAATACCATCGGCCATGGTATCCTTCTGGACTGACTCAGAGGACTGGGGATGGGTGGCACGGTGTTACGTTGGTTCACCTCCTTTCTCCAGGATCAATCCCAGTCAGTGATAACTGGGAAGGAGAGATCCCACTCTCGACCCCTACTGTGTGGGGTGCCACATGGGTTGGTGCTCTCTCCTCTCCTATTCAACATCTACATGAGGCCGCTGAGTAAGCTCATCCATCACCATGGGCTGAGGTATCATCAGTATGCTGATGATACCCGATTGTACATCTCTGCTCCTGGCAAATTAAGTGATGCTGTGTATGTCTTATCCCGGTGTCTGGAGGCTGTGAGGGTCTGGATGGGGAACAACAGACTTCAGCTGAACTCTGGCAAGACTGAGTGGCTTTGGGTTTTAGGGCCCTCCAGTTCTGGGACCATACTATCTTTGGTGCTGGATGGACTTGCACTGCCCCAAACAGACCCGGTGCACAATCTGGGAGTCCTCCTGGACTCACAACTCCTGCTCAATGAGCAGATGGCAATCATGGCTAGGAGGGCCTTTGCACAATTTTGTATTGTGCACCAGTTGCACCCACTCCTAGATCAAGGGGCCCTACTTACACTCATGCCTAGTCACCTCCTGGTTGGACTATTATAATGTGTTCTACATGGGGCTACCCTTAAAGAGTATTTGGAAACTTCAGCTGGGGCAAAATGCAGCAGCACAAGCAGTTATGTGTGTTTCTGGTAGAACACACCTTACACCTCTGCTTCATGAGCTGCATTGGTTACCAGTTTGTTTCCGGGTCCAATTCAAGGTGCTGGTGTTGACCTTTAAAGCCCTAGATGGCATGGGACTGGGTTATCTGAAGGACCGCCTCTCCCCGATTACATCTGCCCGTCCCACCAGATCCAGCAGAGAGGGCAAGTTATGGGTTCCATCGTCTAGGGAGCTACATTTGGTGGGCCTTTTCTGCTGTGGCATTGTGGAATATCTTCCCCCCTGAGGTGAGGCTGACTCAATCACTTTTGTCTTTCGGAAGGTCCCTCAAGACTTGGTTGTGCCATCAGGCCTGGGGACATGGGACTGGTGAACTAGTGAGGTGGCTCCATTAATATTACCATCCCTTCATCCACCACTTCTTTTTCTTAGCTTTGTTTTTTTTAATAGTTTTTTATGATGATGATGATGTATTTATTTACTCTTTTAGCTTTGTTGTACAACACGCACAGTCACTTGTTCTGTGAGATGGGCAGCTGTATAAATATGACAAATAAACAAACAAAAATAAATCAGGCATTGCAAAAGAGAAGTTATCTAAGAAGCTAAAGCAGCAAACATGGGTACTAGGAGAATTCCATCTGAAGAGCAGGAAGAAAGGAATCAAGATATTCACAGCAGCTGGGAAAAGATCTCTATTCTGGACTGGCTCAAAATTAAGAAATAGATTTGGAGGGGGAAAATTGAAGGAAAACAGGGAAGTGCTTCCCCCATTATTAGAAGTAAGGCACCTTAGGGGGGAAAAACTAAGGATTACTGATGTCTGCTGATCACTACAGTTATATGAGGGGTTTTTTTTAAGGACCAGCTGAGAGTACAAACTGAAGAGATGGTAACTCTCAGACTTCCTAGTCGCCAACCACATTTCCTTCATATAACTTTCTCTTTATAAGAGATATATTTCCCTATCTGAATCTATTAAAGAATGTATATGCTTCAATTAAAAAGAAAGAGATTAAATGCCAATATTGTCAAAAGAATTATCTTTTTTAATAGCTATAATATTACCATAGTAAGGTATCTAGTTATTCTGTACCTGATACATCTTTCTGGAAGCTTTTGAAAAGGAGCCCTGAACTACAGGCAACTCTCCATCAGATATTATTATTTTGAGTTTAGCATTGATTTCTGCAAGGTGATGATATTCCATTGGTTCAGGTGTATATCCTTCACCTGGTACTAACAATCCAGTTGCTTCTTCCTATTAAAAAAAAAAAAAGGAAATAATCTTTTCCCCTCAAATTACAGAACTAAGACAGAAAAGAAATAATATATAACATAATAGAACATACTATATATTATAAGAGAAAGATTACGTTTGAGGAGAAAAGTGCAGAATCAGAGCCAATTCTATATACATATTAAAGCCTCAGTTTGATAGCCAGGACTGATTACAAGCAATACACAAAGGATAAGTGCAACATTCAGAAAATTATTTTCTCAAGGAAATGATTAAATTCTCAACTTTAGTACACTAATTTCCAAACAAGTATATAATATGTTCTAATATTAAGATAAATTATTATAATAATATTTTAGGGTAGGGGTTGATAAGACCTAACCGATCTTTGGAGTCCTTGGTGCTCTCTGGGCTTGGTTGTCTGCCTGCAGACATTTTATTACATTTCATATTCTCTTCTACTGGTAATTCATCTTACTGTGTCTATGAAAATGGATTTTTTTCCTACATTTCTGCTGACAATACATATCCCACTGATAAATCAGAGCATGCCTTTCCATCAATATAGTAAACACTTACTGAAGTCACATGCACTTTAGATGCATTATAGTTTTGGGAAAGTGGAAGATAGCTGTGTCCTTCTTAGAACTGTTTTAAATATTAACGAAGTCTCCAATGCCATATTTCCACATTACAAGGGCACCCCCTGCTGGCATATAAATACAGAAGGAAGAAAATACTTGCTCTTGAATTTACAGTAGGCAGAATTTTTCAGTACAGCACATTGGAAAATCCTGTGACCATTTGATTGCTGATTTATTTATATAAAGAATTCATATGTTAGCCTTCAAAGTAGGTTTCCTCAGGATAGTTTGTAAAACATACCTAGAGCGACTCAGGTTATTCAGGCAAGGCTACTTTTCTTGAGCTGGGAAAAGCAGTTGCTTCTGCACAAACCTAAATTATTGAAGTGATTATTCTAAAAGAGATGTTTGGACCATCAACGCCATGTAGCAATCAAATTTCACATCTGCCACAAGGGCATTCAGGCAACTACGCCCTATAGAACAGAATGTGTAACCTTTTTGATAATAGTCTGCAATGGTCTCCTGTATATTTTGAGGCAAGAGGTTCATGACGTGCAAAATTAATGAGAGAAGGCTCTATTCACACAGAGAAGCAAAAAAACCAAAACAGAACCGAACTGCAGACAATTCTAAGTGTTCCATGAAAATGGTATTTTAATATGAAGTCTAAAGCATTTTGGACTAAGGTCTTCCTCAGCTATTCTTATTTTATCCACATACTCCACAGAAAAAGAAGAGTTTCCTCTTTTACATGAAAACTGATATAGTAGGTTATGGAATGCTACTTCTCAGTAAAGCAGCCCACTCACAACCACCAAACAGGCTTCCTTGGGTCCAAGGGCAGCATAACACAAGAACACTTCAGCTATGCTGCCCTCAATTACTGCAAGACAGAGGTCAGCAGAGGAAAAGACACTAAGCACTCAGAGATGCTTAAGCACTTCTTTAGGCATCATCCAAGCTTTCTCCCCATTGATGGCAGCAATAGGCAATGCATGTTAACTAGCAGAAGTGAGGAAAGCAGAGGAAAATGCTTATGTAGTGGTTGCAGCCATTGAGAGGCAAGTTGCAGAGTGCAAATTAGACCAGGTACAAATTATTGTAAAGATGATGGCATTGGATGATTAACCCTTCAGTGTAGCTGAGAAAGCTGGATTCAAGCACCCTTCCATTTAGTTGTCCCTGTTTACTAGAGTGCCTCATAAATCAACTTCAGTAGGCAAGTGGTGCCCTTTTTGCACACTGATGCATGCAGGAAATGCAGATAGCAGACCCCCTTGCAAATATTCACTACACCTCAGATATTTTGCCTATCCCAAGTGTGTGTATCTTATCTCTGGACCCTGGGAGTGTGAAGGAAGACTGAAGGGACATCTGCCACTGTAACTACCAGCATTTCCTATGCTGCAGGATCCAGGCACAGGTAGGATACTAGACTTGGATTATATGGCAGATAACATGATGCAGCCATGGTATACTCATGGAGAACTACCACAGTGGAATACCAAGCATGACTTCGTCATCATTAGGGCACCATGAAAAAAGATAAGTTTGTTAGCATCAATGGAATTCACAAATTGCACCTGATCTTGTGGGACAGCCTTGGTATGGAGGGTGCCATCATAAGGATCATTCCACAGAGACCAAGGTTGAGGTTGCCACACTGCTCTTACAGAAAAATGTTGTAAGACTGCTAGTTATTTGCACTAGAATTTGAAGGGGGTGAGGCAGGATACTTGAATAATGCTAAGTAGAGCTTCAGTACCCAGATCCCTTAAGATGTTCCTAACTGGTGGAACATCACCTATTTGCTTTTCAAGCAGTTAGTGAGTAGCAGAAAGGAGCTTGACATGGCAAGGCATACAGCAGGTATCTCCTTAAAGACATAAAAGTGAAGACTCATGAGCGAGATAATTTCTGCACCTGACTGTTCTTCTTCATGATAAATATCTTAGTATAGAGATAGCCACACTAAACCAAGTTTTGCTTTTGATCTTCCTCCTTCTTTTAGAGAAGTCTCTGGCTGAATTCCAGAAGCTACATTTTGAGGTAGCAGATCCTTGGCCTTCACAATGCACCAGTTGAAGCCCTTCATATTTATTACCAGCTATATCCTATAGGAGGATAGTTGGTCAACCAGCAGATATTCCAACCCTAGCAGCACTAGCACCCAGAGTCCTGGTTATGGCATTAAATTTTCCTCAGCAGACCCAAACCTATTAACCTTTCCCCACATTTTCGGCTAGGGAGAGATGTGAATTCCTTTATTTATTTTTTTGCTTCTGGTGACTGCCTAGACAAGTCCCAGCTAGTTTCTTGGCAACATTTTCAGAAGCGGTTTGCCACTGCCTTCTTCCTAGGGCTGAGAGAGAGTGACTGGCCTAAAGTCACCCAGTTGACTTTGGGCGTAAGGCAGGACCAGGACTAACAGTCTGCCAGTTTCTAGCCTAATGCCTTAAACCAATACACCACACTGGTTTTCTTGTTGTTTTATATCTTTGTTTTTAGTTGTGTATGCCATCCAGAGTGGCCAATGAGTGCCATCTTAAAAATACAGATTTCTAATGGGGCAGTGAATTGCAATATTGCCAGAGAGAAAGGAAGTACCATCTCTTGGTTCAACCAGTACTGTAGAACACTCTGCTGTGTGCTGAATATGCCATGTAAAGGCAAGATGATGGATGCACTTCAGTTTTGGGCAACCGGTGGCTAGCAACAGATCTGGCAACAGTTTCCTGTACTATACATTTTACTCACCAGTTAGTCTCCCAAATGAGAGATTCAAGCAACATTGTGACACCCATCACTCATACCTGGATATTAACTTGCTGAAGCAACACCATTCTGAAGAAGAATCTCTCCTTACTGGATTTTTCTGACTTTTTACTTTACCCTCAAGATCTCTAGCAGCCCATTGTCCAGCTATATCCACTGATGGGGATGAATTCTATCACTCAGACCTCACTGGATCACACTGATTTATCTGAGCAAATTATACTCAAATGAGTCCCTGGCTTATGTCCCCTGAAAGATGCACAGCAGATGGAAGAGACTGTTATCTCTCTACTAGTCCCTGAGCAGAACTTGAGTGACACATATATTGGATGGAAAACCCATGTGGCTCATCCCTCCATTAGTCCCAGCTCCACAAGTTGTAATGAAAGCCAGCTACCACCCACCCTTAGCTCCACTCTCACAGTCAACAAAAATGTTAGTAGGCCCAATCTGTCTGGCTCTGAGGCTCCAAATAGGCCACATAGATGGAGATGATGCTTTGGATGACAAAAGTTCAGATGTGGAGAGGACTGTTCCCTGCTTCATGCCATTTCCCACACTAACTCAGAAGGTAGGGTACTGCTATTCTTTAAAAATGCTTGCTACAGGAAGTTGGACTTCATCTCAATAGATCTACATAAGGCAGGTAAATCCAAAGTTTCATGAGTATGAATATACTGCTTTGCTTCATGTATAAGCGTTGGATACGATGAGCATGCAATTCAACGTCTACCAATATAATGCTGATTTGAGGTGGTCTGTTGAGTTTATAAATGCTTTTGTGTTTTGCCGATGTTGAATTTCAGGATGCCTTTAAATGTGAAGCAAGTTCCCATTGTTTCCTATGGCAGGAACACTTAAAACGTTTTGATTTTTGTTCTGACAGAAGAAGGAAAAATATTTGAAGTTTTATTCCTTTGCAACACAGTAAATTTGGAACATTCTTTACAAAGTACTTTGCTCCAAACTCAAAGCAAAATACATTTCCATTTTCTCTAATTTCTACAGTCTCCTGAGGTAATTTGAGTTGAGAGAGAGTAAATGGCCCTAAATCACATAGTGAGTTTCTTGATAAGTGGAGATTTGAACCTGGATCGCCAATCCTGGGCTAATACCTTCTCCACAATACTGCACTAGTTTTTCTCATTGTACCAGCAGAAGCTAAAGAAGATAGCACCACAGGTAATTCTTTGGTTGGAAATACTGCACAGAGCTTATGTCTTAAAAAATAGTTTTGAATCAACATTATCTGTTCATACCTCAGCTTGAAGTTTACTGTTGTCATTTTCAGTGTCTTTCAATAATTCTGATAGTCTCTGTCTTTCTTCATCTAGCATAACAACTTGACTTGACAAATCTTTGGCCAACTGCATAAAGAAGAAAGTGATCTGGAAATTGATAGTCTTGGCAGATCAATAATACTCTTTTGAAAATCAGTAAGGATTAGGGTCGTGCATGCTTCAAAAACAATATGGATGGAAGATGTGCTTTGGATCTTGCATAAGCACAGCATCTCTCTGCTATTCAGTAAAGCCGGTTCCAGGTTTCTGATCAAGACAGAAGAAAGAGGCTGCTGCTTTAAGGGGTGATTCCTTAAATAGTAGCATCTTTTTTTTCCAGGTTCATGTGGAAGTGTAGGAAAAAAAACAGGCTACATTAATGAGTATCTCCCTCTCTCTAATGGAGGTGCTGTACCTGACAAGCTTCAAAGCATTTCTTCCAAATTATTATTAAAGCACGCACAGCCCAAATGAAGATCGTATTTTTTAATAGATTAACATGTTGATAGGCAACATTCTAATAACAAATGTGGTGGCTAAAGGAAGACTTTGATATAGGTATTTGTAATAGTAAATTCATCACAAAAGGATGAACTGGGTTTGAAAATTTTAGTAGGAAGGGAATATCATGAAAAGTAAAAGTATCATGAAAAATAAAATTTAAGAAAAATGCATAGATAATGGCTAAGTCCAGTGTTCATGCAATCTTTGCCATCTACTGCTAAGACTATCAGATAAGGTCCAACATATCACCCCAGCACTGGATAATTAAGAAGGGAATTAATGTTTATATTAACATTCATTGGAGAGAAAGGGATTAGAAGAGAGTAATCACATTGAAAACAATGCACTGGTGCCGGCAGCCACTTGGCAAACAGCTGGTGTATTCCCCATTGTGTGCCTGCTTACTGTACTCTACTCTAATCCCTTCATCTCCAATCTCCCTGTTCTACAGCGAGGAGGGGAGAGGAGAGATTGCCTACAGAAATCACTTGGCAGGGCCCTTCTTTTCCAGGGGAGGCAAAGGGAGAAGAGGGGCTGCAGTTGGCATGTGGGAGGGGGAGAAGGGCAGGGAAGCATCAGAGCGACTTTGGTGGGTGATCCATCAATTACTCCCACAACGGGGCGCCACAAGGAAGCCCAGGATTAGAAGATAATAAGCAGGCACACAATGGCTGCTGAATATACTGGCTGTTTGCTGAGCATATTTGTGGCTGCCAGCTTCAGCACATTGCTTTTGATGTGTATTCCCCATTGTGTGCCTGCTTATTGCCAAGTCCAGACCCCTTCACAGTCCCTTCCTTTCAAACTTTTCCTTACAGCAAAGCAGCAACCACCACAAGGGCTCCATCTTTTTGCTATGGCCAGTTAACTTTCCTCTGCAGTTCCCACCCCACCAAACCGGAAAAGCTGGCTGGGGTCCTGAACCAGCATGACCTAAGCTGTCTGGCCAACCATCTGCAGGCATTTCTCTTTGCAAACACGCCAGGACAGAGACTCCAGATGCGTGCAACCTGGAACATCAACCAGGGCTGGGAAGGCATCCCTTTAGGTCCCTTCGGATCTGGGGCCAGCCAGGAGGAGATGCACAGGAGTTGACGGGTGTCTTTCCAAGTCAGACACCTGGTCTTCTCCATGGTCAAGTAAGAGTAAAGGTCTCAGACAGGAGCAGCAGATGAGGGAAGCTTCCTCACCACTCTGCTTCACTTCGGGGGTCCACTCAGGGTTTGCGCACAGCAGGGCCCTCAGCAAAGCCCCGTCCTTCACTGCTTCCCCTTCCCTACCTTCCAGTGCCCATATTGGGCTAGGGATGCCTCCCCACAATATGCACAACTGGAAGCCCCCCCCTTCTCCCCTTGCCAATCCCCTCTCATCCAAATGCAGCACCCCTGCCAGAGTCTGCAAAGCAAGAGAGAGGAAACATATGTGCGCCTCTTTCTCTCCCACCCATGTCAATGCCCAAGTTGCTCTGGCACTTCCCTGTCCTCCTCCTCTCCTTCCCAGATGCCAACCGCAGTCCCTCTTCTCCCCTCACCATCTCAGAAAAGAAGGTCCCCACCAAAAGATTTCTGTAGGCAATCTCTGCCCCCCCCCCACCTTGGAGAGCAGAATGATTAGAGATGAAGGGATTAGAAGAGTGTACAGTAAGCAGGCACACAATGGGGAATACACTGGCTGTTTGCCGAGCAGTTGCCGGCACCAGCACATTGCTTTTGATGTGTATTCCCCATTGTGTGCCTGCTTATTCTCTTCTATTCTCTTCTTCTCCAATCTCTCCACTCTGCAAGGGGGGAAAAAATAGGTCGGACCGAGAACAACATGTACTGACTGTAATGGCGATCACGTGACTGAGGGAGGCTGCGAATGTCATAAGTGGTAATAAATTGGTCATAAGTTATTTTTCAGCACCATCATAACTTCAAACGGTTGCTGAACAAGTGGTCAGTAAGCAAGGACTACCTGTAGTCACTTATGTGTACTTGATTTGCCAGATGCTGCACAAATTCCATAGAAGTCTTATGGAAGGATTACCCTCCCACTACATCATTCATAACTTTTAGTTATAAAGAAGTTCATTAGCATTCTTATAAACAGAAGTCACAGGCATGGCATAAGAGGAACGTGATATTACAAAGTAAGAGGATGTTGAATTAAAAGAGGATATTCCATTACACAGATATGATTACAAATAGCAGTTTAATAAATTCTATTTTTCCAGAAAAACCTAAAATAAAGTAATTAGAAATCAAATCATTATTCTCTTGTATATTTCAGATAAACTATAAATAATTTTTTTAATGAAGCTATTTTCTAAATGAGTAACAAGGTAAAACTTAACAAAGAATTTTAATCCTATGTTTTGGAACATAGGCCTTTAAATACATACCTCTATGTTCTTTTTAACAAAGTTTGGGGTTTTTTTAAAGCTTGTTTCACTTTTTGGCTGAACATTTTCCATTTTCTTCACTGAACTTCTTGTTATACTGTCAGTTGAATCACCTTCAGTTACTGGCATAGAAAAAGAATTATTGAGGAAACAAGCAACAAAGAACAATTTATTCATCTCAATTAAATTCCAGAATTGCATTTCACTGTATGTAAAATGTAGCATTTCAGGACTACACTGTAGTAAACTATGTTTTCAATACTAACCCTAACAAAATATTACAGGCTTTACTGCAAACTCATTGGTAACACTAGCACACACAAACTGCAGAGTAAACCAATGTGAAATGCAAATTCAAGCTAAGCATTCTCAAATCCAAAATTCATTTTTCTGTGAATGAAAGAACTGTTCAAACATGAAACTGAAACTTTTGATCTCACATGTCAAGTGTAATAAAATGTGAGGGAAGCCTCATACAGGCCAATTCTTACAATGGGAAAAAATAGCTTTCATTATGTCCAAGTATCTCCAATGCTGGGCCTATACTTTAGCAAAAAATGTTTCATGCAGCCCAGTAACCAAAATAATCAATAATAATCAAAATAATCAAAAGGCATACTTTCTTCTCACAAATCTGTAATTCTTTTAAAATTATATCTAGAGAACAAAACTGTTTTATACCTTGCTTTGTTTGTTTTCTGTTAATCTCATAATTTTCTGGAGGAAGCTGAGTTTTAAATATGTTAAACGTTTCATTATCTTCGCAAGCAGAAAGATCTGTTAATGAAACATATGCTGTGAAATAAGGTGATTTCTAGAGAGAAAGTGAGATCAGTTTGGATATAAAGATTCACTGTACCCCACAGAGGCTGCTGGATTAGGACCTTCAGTTACTGCATGTTAGGCTGAACTAGATTCACTACTGTAATCACCTTCCCTGAATTGTCAAGGTGGATTTAAAATAAAAAGATGTACTTGGCCAGCAAGGCATACACTCTCGTACAACTTCCAGTCCTGACTGACTTGATTTGCAGGGCTTTGGAATTAGAGGACAAATCACCTTTTTCCTACCATATATTGAATAAGATAGGGTGAGCAACCTTTTGACAACCAAAGACTACACTTAACATTTTGGGGGTGCTATGAGCCACAGTGATAGTACAACTATACAAACTGGGTAGGCCTGGTATCTTTGTCTTTTTAAAACATGTAAAGAACATACACTACAAATGTGATGTTCTCTGTTTTAAATGGAAAGAAACAAGGCCACCAGTTTTCAACAATCATGTTCAGAGGAGGTTCTCAAAGCTGCTAAAGGGTTCAAAGGCTGCAGGTTGCTAACCCCATACTAGAATTAATGCCAAAAGTTTAAATTTTTTAATACTTACCAGGTGTTACAGGTAATGGTGAGTTCAAAGCTAAAAATCTGCTGGTGTTTTCTTCCTCTTCAGTAATTATTGAAGAACTTCGGGATGTCATAGACTGTATTCAGGCAGTGAAATACATACATACATATAAGGATAAAAGGACATTCCAGAAGATTTGTGCACACTGCTCAGCTCTTCCTTAAGTTTGTAAAGGGCTCCCACACACAATAGCAGGTTTTCCAACTTTGTCTTTATTCTCACATGATTAACATACACTTTTAGTTAAAGTATATGTGCAAACATCATTTTTATCATTGGGCTACTATATACATGACAAAACGTCTTTGATATATGCAGTGTTAGCAACAGTTTACAAAAGCTATGACCAAGGACTTGAGCAGAACATACTTAGAAAATACTGCACTGATATGTGTATGTATAGGAACTCTAAAAACATATTTAATTTATATAGATTTAGCACAAAAATGTTTTATGCTAAAAGGAGTTTAATATTCAGGTCTGTAGAGATCCATGGGAAAAAAAATCAATAATTTATCAAACTATATGAACTTCTACCAGGCCATATCTATAGATTTACTAAATAAGTCTACAGCCACCTTGAATACTTAGTTGAGTAGAAAATCAGCATATAAATCAAATACATAAGTAATGGGTATCTGATTTTTATATGCCAAAAAGCAATTTAAATGTCAGTAAAATTAGCAATTCATCATCATGTATATGTATATAAATATTGGTTCATATAATATTTTGGAATCAGTCTTATATTTCTAACCTGAAACTCTTCCCATAGTTTTGCTCTCATTTCTCTGCCTTGCCTTTTGACAGCTCTTTCCTGGGATTGTTTATTTGCCAATATCTGGTCCAGCCTTTTCATCTTCTTTATTGCTTTCAGGATGAGAGGATCTATACTTTTCTCCTTAGAATCATCCAGGTTTGCAGAGCTGAATGTCACTTAAATATAAAACTGACTATTAAAATTAAATTATCTTTCCATCAGAAATATTCTTAATAGCATTTCAAGTTGATCTACTAAAATGTCATCTTCTAAGACATCAAATGAAGAATATTATTCGATAATCTATTAGGAATACAACAGCAATGCTAAAAAAAATTAAAAGAAAATATTGCTCTTAATTAATGAAGCAGAAAATTGTTTAAAAACTATTATGGTTAATATAAACATTTATGAAACAAACTGGTCATGTACAACAGCAATGATCCTTTTAAGATGATCCCTGCTATGCTATATGTGCACTGCTGAAAGAGATTATGCTTCTTGCATAATATTTTTTACTCATTTATACCATTAAACAAAAAAATTACAAAAATTCATATCATTCTTTAAGATAATATTTACTTAACTGGAGTGCAGCTACATCTAAAATAAATCAAAATCATAGTAATCAGTGAAAAGTTGGGGTGATTTCTCCCAAGGGTATTCCCCATCAAATAGCATGATGAAATCACAATGTGGGGATGTTTTAGGGAAAAAAAACATTGTCTGTAGAAGTTTATTTAACTATGTCCTTGATATGCCAGTGCCAATCTATTTCTTTAAAGTAACTCACCAAAATCTAGCTTCTAAGAAATAACAAGGAGAGCAAAAATTCAAACATACTGTATTTCCAAAGCATGGGGCAGGGAGAGAAGGAACACATTCTCTTTAAGAGTAATAATGGCTGGCTGCAATCCAGAAGGCTTGGTCACCAGGCTTGCCTAAATCTAACTTTGAATTGTGAACAGCCCACTTCCACCCTAGTTAGTCATTCTAAAAACTTCTTAATATTAACAATGGATGCTAGAATTTCCTTTCTTCCTTCTTCTGTTTTATATGTGTATAATCATTTAGATTATCATCCTGATAGAAAGCTCAGAAAGAAAAAACTTTATTGAGGTCATTAACCAGCACAAGGGAATTGGTGTTCAAATATCCAAAACTAAATTGACAATATCAGGGTACGTAGGAAGATAGAAGGCTCAGATGTGCCCATATGATCTGAAGCCTTCATCAAAATGACAAAAACAGCATCACAGTATCACAATGCAATCTCTGCTCCTTTTGTACATGTGTGCACCATCAGGACACATATAAAAAATGACAGGGCTTGTACTGCAATGGTATGACATTGTTTCATCATTTGTACCTCCCTGCTTCCCATTACAATTATTATTGATTGTAAGCTATGCTGGCTTTCTAACAAGACAGAGTACAAAATGGCTTAATAAAAAATAAATACCTTTTTGTGGTTCAACTAGCTTATTCTGAGAAGCACTGCTGCAACACAGTTTATTTTCAGCACAGTCATCTTCAGAATCTACTGAACTTGAAGAATATTCTGAAAAAACAGAAACAGTGCATAGAAGTGCTGTTTAAAAGTGCTATTAAAGATTCAAAACAACTGTAAAAGAGAATTACTGCAAGGCAGGCTGCAATCTGGAAGGAACTATAGTTTTATGCACTCACCTTAGTGCACTTTAGTGCACTCACCTTAGTTTTGTGAAATATCTATATAATGAGTTCAATGAGTTTAACATTTATATTTCTATATTAATTGTTCCTTATGTTTTATGAAGCTCCAAGGACAGTGGGAGTGCCATTCTTTTCTGATAGAACTCTTGTTCTCTTAACAGATAACAGGCAAGTAGAAATTCAGCAAATGAAATTTAACTTAGCATGTAACTGCTATAGTAAGAACAACTATACAAATGTTCATCTCATGCCACAGTCAAAGCCTAGAGTCCAGCAGAAAACAAGTGAGGGAATCTTAGTCACAGATTATTATGAATTTAAGGGTAAAAAACCATCAGTTTGAACCAGGTCTGAAAGTATACCAGCAGTCAATGAATTAAAAATAATAATGAATTCATATGCTTTGAGCTTCAAAGAGCATTCTAAAAACCACATTTTTTAAAAAAATGTATTTAATTTTTTTCAAAGATTAAAAGCACAAACTAAAAATACAAACCAAGAAGGAAAAGGAAAAAGAAAATATTTTATATTTATCAATAGTCACTGGTTTAATAATGAACTCACTACTATAATATGAACATACAGTATGAATGTTACAGTATTGTAAGATATCACAGATATTGCTGCATCCTTTGATTAGTAGAAAATATTGCCTTTTCCCGGATAGATCATACATTTCTTTCAACCATTTCTTGACATTTAGAATATCATTTTTCCAATTTCTTAATATAATTTTTTTAGCCAACCCCCATGATTGATATAATTCCTGATAAACAAATTCCAAAGCTTTGGCATATAATTCAACATTACATTAACATGTTTAAAGATTTTCCCATAAATATGCTTATATGCCTTGATACACTATCCCCAAAAGATAATAAATCACATGTCCATATCATAAGGGTCAATGAGCCCTCATATTTTTTATACCTCCACAATAAAAAATCTGATGTCCATCCTTTCAAATACATTCTTTGGGGAGTCCCATATACTGTAAATACAATTTTTGATGGATCAACCTTAATCTCAAATCTGTAGATACTTTTTAAACATTTTTAAGGACTTTGATAGGGCTTTATCAAAAATTCCAGTTCTTTAGATCATGTTTGAAATGTTCACTTAAAAAAAATATATATATTCTTGAGCTTTTGATAGAAATACATGATAGGTTGTAATTCTATCAGATTCCATCAAGTAAGAAAGCAACTTAGATGCCTTTGAGCAGGCAAAGCACAAATCACAATTTTTTAAAGCTTATCATATTGCCCTGTTGATATGCAATCTCCAATTATACTGGAAAATGTATGCCAATTTAAAGGATAAACAGACAATTTTAAACACTGTGTATATCTATGCAGAGTTTTTATTTAAACACTAAAAAAAAAAAAATTAAAGACACCCTCATGATGAGCTTGACTCTCAGTAACTACATATACAATTCCATGCAGCTAATTTGGTAACAACATGGAGCAGTTTTCATTAACTTCTTCCAAGATGTTTGATTTCCCAATCTAGCCTACAGCCCTGGAATTCCCTGGTGGGTTTCCATCAAAAGACAAAGTTTAGCTTCTAAGCCCAGGCAATATCGATTAGATGCTACCCTTGCTAAGACTGGTGATTGTAGTGTGATGAATTCTCACATTCTTCAACATCGCTTAAGAGAATATTCACATTGTCAATGTCAAAGCTTTTGAACATTCTGTATAACATCTGGCAACTATGTATAATGTTCAGAGAGTATTATTCCATTTACTGTAGGTGACAGGCATGTAGTCCAGCTTGAAAAGAATAGATAAGGCTGTACTAGTCTATGTTCTCACTCAGAAGTAAGCCTAATTAAACAAAATAGTCCTTATTTATATGAACATGCAAAAGATGGCAGCTCGTTAGGAGGCAGCAGTTTCTATAGCATATAGACCAGTGTTTCTCAACCTTGGCCACTTGAAGATGTGTGGACTTCAACTCCCAGAATTCCCCAGCCAGCATATATAGACTGATATAGACTATTCTATCCATCTCCCTCGATATTTTCTTAGCTGTTAACTTCTGAGAAACCGGCAGAAGAGCATTTTTTTTCTCTAAGAGCTGTTCCTAAGGGGTGAACCCCGAGGATTATAAATCTCAATTTACAGTGGAATATTGCTGATCAGAGCTTCCTAAACTGGACTTTCACCTTTTAATTTAAGCATTTCCTTTTTATTACATTTATCTCTTCTGAACTTCTGATTTTTTTCCCTTCAAATCTCTATTGAAACCTGATTGGAATTTATGATTTTTTTCTCTACATTTGGGAAGGCAACTTAGTCATTTTCTACACGGGCTTTCTCCATTTTGATCACTTAATGGCTTATCATTTTTGTTTCAGTAATATTCAGAATACTTAGAACTTTATCTTTTAACTACAAGGATAGTCACTGAAAATGAGAGTTATTCAATAAACACAGTAAGGATTTGTTTCTTTATTCTGATTGTCTTCCTTCTCTAGAGAATTCAAAGGAAAATCTCTGATATAAATATAACCTTTTGTTTAAAGCAACTATATAGTTAAGACTATTATTAATGCAGAGTCACTTGCTTCTGGACATTACTATTCCAATTGTTTTAACAAGATACTGTATCTCTTGTTTGAGCTAGTCTGAGCTTTTTTTTAAAAAAAAAAACTAATTCCTTCCCTTCCTTTTAGTTCTCCTAATTTTCTTTTTTAACCACAAGAGGGGGCTCCAACATGAATGTTTGTTTAATTCTCTACACTTTTTATTTTTGCTTTTTGATTGCTTAGTGATTCATTGTTTTCATTTTAACAAAATACAGATTTTATTAACAACTATTGTTACTGAAATAGACAGTCAAATATAGGTCAATATAGCCTTTTTTCAGAAATCCAAAGTAAACATATAAAACTGTTTCTTTTAATGCAACTTTTAGCTAAGAACTTCACTAATTTCAATATTTACCTCTGAATACTATATGTTGTTTCATTTGCTTATTTAAACTAATTTGTAGCTTTAACTCTGTTTTTTTTTCCTTTTACTTACAGAAAGGAGCTCCAACATAGGGAATGATTATTTAAACTGAAATGAAATTAAATGCTTAGTTGAATGATAAGGATTGATATAGAATGATAAAAATTGCAGTACAACGTAGTTCTTAATATGTGAATTGACTGTTTAATACAGGTAGTCCCCAGTTTAAGAATGAATTCCATCCCCCAAGGTCTATCCTTAAGTCGAATTTGTATGTAAGCCAGAACAGTATTATTGTATAATATTGTACAGTGTAAGTAGTATTAGGTAATGAACTCAAACCATTGGGTATTTAACTCAAATCACTGTGTATTTAATTCGAATTTTGCTGTAATATGTGTATTTCTTAAACCTAACACTGAGAGCTCTCTTTATATTCTTTCCTTTCATACTGTACTATTTGGTCATTTATTGTGTTTTGAGTACTTCCAAACTTCCACCCACCCCCTTTTGTTTTTCTGATCTCCTACACTTAATGTGTGTTTTAATTTAATGGTTAATGTTTAATTATTACTTATTATTTTTCCAAAATGAGTAGGAGAAACATGGTAGAATATAATCCAAAAAGGAAAAAGCATAGCTACATTCCTCTGCTTCTTTCCCTTAATTTAAAGAATATCTTACAGGCAAATTGCATACAGTGGAAAATAGTTTCTCCAAATTAAGTCAACAAGCACATCAAGATACAGAAGCAAAATTCAATTCTCGGATATTAATGATATTAATGATAGATATGATAAATTAACAATGCAAGTTGAACATCTGAATAAATAAATTAAAGAATTCAGACAGGACATTTGGAACTGTGTTTAGTTCAGAACTCAGGAAACAGAATTGAGTAAGTTAGAAACTAAATCAAAATTAGTTGAAACGGAATTATATAAAAAAAATTAAAGTTCAGAGGTATACTTGAGCATTTCAGTAAAGAAGAACTAGAAAGAGAACTGGAAAATTCATTAAGACTTATCTTATTTTGGACACAGATAAAACTCAGGAAATTCAGGAATTTTACAGAACATATTCTCAGGTAGCATGAAGGCAAACATTGCCATGGGATATATTTGTAAAACTTGCATATTTCAAGACTAAAGAGGCGATATGGGAATTAAAAAGAAGTGCAACTCCTCTAAAATTTGGAGCTAACATAATTAAGATCTCACCAGATGTACCCCTAGATATACTTAGAAAAAGGAGAAATCTAACATCTCTGACAACTGTTCTCTAGATAAAAACTTAGATACAGATGGGCTATCCATTTTGTCTAGGAGTCTTTATGGATGTGGGAAAAGCTTTAAAATATTCTGTTGATTCTAACACAATGCTTGAATCATTATCTGTAACAGAACAGATAACAGTATTGAGATTGAGACTGAGATCAGACACAAGATCAAAAATTGGTTCAAGCTGGAACCTCGGGGAATAAAGACTGAGAACAGACAGAAGAACAAAACCTGGATCAAACAGCTAGTATTTCTTCATAAGTTAACTAAAAATTGCTATTGTGGTTCAACTCAAAATATTTTCAGGTAATACTGATGGGCTGAGTAGTTGATTTGAAAAGAAAAAAAATAGGTTAAAAAAGGAAAAAGCACTTATTATATGTCTTCAAGAGACACATACTAAAAACAATAACGTAAGTCTGTTGGAACATAAATATCTCAGTCAAAAATTTGGGGGCTTCAAATAAAAAAAATGGAGTAGCTATATATCTGAAAAATATATTATAGACTCTAGAAAAACAAATCTATGATGAGGAAGGAAGATTCATAATATGTTTTCAGACCGAATCCGAAAAAAACAATTGCCTCAATTTATTCTCAGAATGATAACAAAATAAAGTTCTATGAAATATTTATTCAATCTTTTCTTTGAATTGCAGAGGAAGATACCTCTGGATATCTAAGCCTGGATATATAAATGGCTTTTCCCCATACATGTTTTTTTAATATAATTTTATTAAAAGTTTTAAAAAGAAAATAAAAACTAATACAAACTAATATAAAGTAAGGAAGAAAAAAGAAAAACAAAGAAATCAAAGAGAAAGCTAAAGTACAAGAAAGGAAAAAAGAAAAAGAAAAATAGAAAAAGAAAAAAATACAAAGAAGTGGCTTCCAATCTTCTTTATAGCAGTTATAATTACAATTATAAATTTACCTCTTTCTCTAAAGCTACATGTCTCTCTTCCTTCTATAATCTGACCTGTCTAGTCATCAAAACCATAAATCATAAGTTCATTTTTTCTGTTTTCTGCAAAAAGTCCATAAGGGATTTCCATTCAGCAATAAACGTAGATATTGTCTTTCCTCTAATCAAAGAAGTCAATTCGGCCATCTCAGCGAGTTCTATCATCTTCACCAACCATTCCCCCATTGTAGGTATTGCCAAATCTTTCCATCTTTGTGCATACAATAATCTTGCTGCAGTTATCAAATACAAAAACAAAGGTCCATGACTTTTTTCCAACTGTTTGTCCGTCAGTCCCAAAAGAAAGACCTCTGGTCTCAATTATATATTAATCTTTAAAATCCT